TACACTCCTCAGCAAAAACCTGTTATTTGAATGAGAAATGAAAGTCCAAAATGTCAAGAAAAAGCACACAAGTGATTCACCTGAACAGAGCAGCAGCTGCAATGGAAGAAATTCATGTTTTACCAAACTCAATGTCCCCTGGAGTTGCCTTGTTAGGATCTTCAGCAAGCAGCAGCAAAAGGAGCAGAATGAACACTTCCTGAAGGACCCCTATCCATCCCACAGTGCCCTGGTGGTCCTGGCCACCAGGCTTGACCTGGAGAAGCGTCATGTGCAGAAGTAGTTTGTGGCTTGCCAGGCCTCATACCTTGGCCGGGCACCATACCCTCAGCTGGAGCAGCATCTGAGCCCACCTTCTTCCTGGACAGAAGTCGTCTACCTGTGCTGGGCCAGTGGGCTTATGTGGGCACACCCAGAGGCAATGGGCGACTTAAGTGTCAGTCCTTAGGATTTCTTCCCAGAGGACCAACCCTGCTTCTCCAGTCCAGGCCAGGCCTGCGGGCAGCGCACAGGAGGGCGTCCCATCAGCAGCAACCCAGCTTCAGGGCCCCAGTGGGCCAGGGAGCCAGCCTGTGAGGCTCTATATAGCTTCGAAAGCTCCGAGTCTCTGTTGCCACATCTTCAGACCAGGAGGAAGAGGACACGGACAAATCAGGTCCAGGAGATTCCTGAATGTATGTGGGTTCTACGCCTGCCACATTCCGCAGGTCCCGCAGATCCTCACTCTGGCTACTTTCGCATCTGATTGTTGTCCCCACCTGTCATTTCAGTCACCTGGAAGCAAGTGTCTGGGTTTCTGGTCTAGGAGTGGAATGGGTGTTCCTGGATCCACTTCCTTCCCTTGATGCTGCCCCAGAGCTCTTTAGGGGGCTGTGCCCTGCACCCTCGACACTCAGTATTGTGAGCTTCTGCAGGCTTGTGTACTACCTTCGGTTTTCATCAACTCCCTCATGAATATTAAAACATTCTCGTTTTGTTTTTGGTTTTTGGTTTTTTTGGTGGGGGAATAATGAGAATTGAACCCGGGGCACTTTACCCCTAAGGCACATTTCCAGCCCTCTTCATATTTTATTTGGAGACAGGATCTTGTTAACCTCCTGAGGCTTTTGAGCTCCTCAGCCTCCTGCCTCAGCCTCTGGAGCCACTGGTATTATAGGTGTGGATTTCCTTTATCCTGTACTCTTGGCAATTAAAGTCCCTCTGGTTCTCCACCCCACCACCACCAAAAAAAAAAAAAAAAAACACGTTACCCTGAAAGTGGGAATGATTTTTGTGACCTATACATAGACCAGATCCCAGAGCTCAGGGAGATAAGGATAATTCCCCCTACCCATAAAATCTATAAGGACAGAAGATTTCAGCCAGGCATGATGCACACACCTGTGATCCCAATGACTCAGGAGCTGAGGCAGGAGGATCACAAGTTCAAAGCCAGCCTCAGCAACAGCAAAGTGCTAAGCAACTCAGTGAGACCCTGTCTCTAAATAAAATACAAAATAGGGCTGGAAATGTGGCCCAGTGGTCAAATGCCCCTGAGTTCAATCTCCAGTTAATCCCCCTCTAAAAAAGGGACACATTTCAATTAGAACTGGTAAACATGGGCCAAAGCGACCTAGAGTTGTCACAAACAGTGGAAACTTGAAAGTCTGATGTCATCCTTCTGTCAGTCAAAAGGCAAGAGGCGAATTTGAATGGGATTTTAGAATTTTCCCTGGGACCCCCCAAGAAGACTGGAGGGCAGGTGACTGGGGAAGCTGAGGCGAGAGGATAGCAAGTTTGAGGTCAGCCTCAGCAATTTAGTAACACTCTGTCTCAATAAAAAATAAAAAAAGTGAAATAGCGATTTAGCATGGAGAGATATACTAAGTCTTAAAGGAAACCTCCTTGAGCCATTGAGATTCAGAAAGCTGAGCTGCAAATCTTGAAAAAGCAGGCATTTGGCCCATACTCTTGTAAAATGAGGGAAATACACAAGTGCAGGGAAAACTGGCATGAAACAGTGCAGCTTCACCCTGGCTCCAGATCGGCCCCGGATACAGCCCTTTTTTAAGTACTGGACTCCCAACACAGGCTGGGCTTCTCACCCTGGAGATAGCCCACTTCTCCTTTGAATGTGTATCTACTTCCTAAATAAACCTCTGTCTATGTCTTTGTCTGGCTCATGCTGAAATTCTGTTCTGTCAGGTATGCCAACAACCCCTCTGGCCCGGAGTTGAATTCCCACTTCCCTCTGAGAACTCCTAGGACCCTTCTCTGGAGACATTTCTTCTCCCATGATGAAAGGACTAGGGATAGTCACTGGTAGAGTGCCCCAGGTTCAATCCCCAGCACAAAACAAACAACTGGAGTGGGGAGGGGCAAGCGATGTGGTCCTCCTCCTCTGGGAGTGCTCCTCTTCCCTTTTTCAATCCCTTCTAATAAAACTCATGCCCGCTATCTGAGTGGTATGTCTGTAATGAAATCTTTCTGGCCTGATGGCAAGAATCAGGGTGAGAAAGGACTGCCAAGGCTGTCTTAGCCTGGCAGCAGGCCCATGCCCTGTGACAATGACATGCCAAAACAATCCCACTTGGGATACATTACATTATATGAAATGAGCTATTAATATTAAAGTATATATACAAATGGAATCTTATAATACAATACTCTTTTGCTCCGTGTTATGTTTGTTTGCACATGAGTGACTTTAATGACTACTGTGCTATGCACTGTTATAACTTAAAAAGTGTGGGGCTAGGGTTGTGGCTCAGTGGTAAAACGCTCCCCTAGCACATGCGAGGCCCTGGGTTCAATCCTCAGCACCACAGATAAATAAATAAATAAAATAAAGATATTACGTCAACTTACAACTAAAAAATACATACATATATATGTGTGTGTTGTGTGTGTGTGTGTGTGTTTCTTTTTTCTTGTTTTGGTAATAGGGATTGAACCCAAAGGTCACTTTATGGCTGAGTTAAATCCCCAAACTTTTAAAAAATTTTTTATTTGGAGACAGGGTCTTGCCAAGTTTAAGAGTCTCTCTCAGTTGCTGAGGCTGGCTTTGAACTTGCAATCTTCCTGCCTCAGCCTCTGTAATTACTGGGATTATGGGCATGCACTGCTGTACCCAGCCTAAAAAGTGATTTCTATCTCCTAATGTCCTTGCCAAGATGGAGTGCTAACATTAGTCCTAAAAAAAAGTAAAGGAATTGTGTCCATAGACAACTAAAAAAAAAATTGGAAAAAAAGAAAAAAGAAAAAAAGAATTGTTTGCAAATGCCATGCACAGTGGCACACGCCTGTAATGTCAGCGACAAGCGACTAAGATGGAGGATCCCAAGTTCCAGACCAGCCTCAGCAATTTAACAAGATCCTATCTCCAAAAAAAAAAAAAAAAAAGAAAGAAAAAAAAGTGTGGGCTGAGGATGTGGCTCAGTAAAAAACTCCCCTGGGCTCAATCTCAGTAACAAACAAACAAACAAACAACATCAACAACAACAACCAAAAAAAAAAAAAAAAAAATTAAAGGAGATATATATCTGGGATTTGTTTTAAATTGAAACCAAAGGTGCTTAACCACTGAGCCCCATATCCATCCTTTTTTATTTATTTCATATCTTTATTTATTTTTATATGGTGCTGAGGATGGAACCCAGTGGCTTATGCGGGCTAGGTGAGCACTCTAGCACTGAGCCACAAACCCAGTCCCCTTTTTATTTTTTATTTTGAGAAAGGATCTCGCTAAGTTGCTGAGGCTAGCTTTGAACTTGCGATCCTCCTGCCTCAGCCTCCCGAGTCGCTGGAATTACATGCGCCACCACGTCCGGCTTCTTTCTTCTTAATTACGTTTATAAATTACTTTCAAGTAGTATATGATCGCACAATCAAACCTAACGAATGTTCTCGACTAAACAATATCTCTCGTTCACGTCTAGTAACATGTTTCTAACCTAGAACTACAAGCCTGACTTAGTTGACTGATATTTAAAACCCATAACTTTATTTCTGGATACCAAATAAATAAGAGAAATTTGAGACAGTCTCTAAGGAGACTGGCATTCGTTCCAAGCATTCTCAAATCATATCCCACACTCCCTTTCTGCCCTCCCAGTTCTCGGTTTTTATCCTGAAATCTCGCGAGAGGTCGAGTTTTCATGAATTCTCCCAGAAGCCACCGCTCTTCCTCTTCCTGTAAGCGGCCTGAGGTGAGTGCGTCTGTAGAGTCTGGGTACGAGTGTTCAATCCTCCGGTCATCACCGCCATCCTGGCCTCTGGAATGCGGGCGTCAAGGACCCCGGGAGGAAAACTCCCAGGGCTACGATTTCTTGCTGGAAGCGATGTTTCTCTGTGCAAGGAGACGTGGCAGGGTGCCCGATTTGGTGCTCCCCGGCCGGCAGGCCTCTGTGAGCTGCAGAGGAACGTGATGGATGGGGGACGGGGGAGGGAGAAGCTCGTCGGCTGGTGGGGGTACGGGCAGCTGCCCTCCGTGTCTACTCCGACTGTGGAGGTCCAGTGTCCCGCGGTGAGTGGTGGCCAGTACGCGGAGCATTTGTGGCCGCAATGCGAGAAAGTTTTGAGGGAATAAAGGCAGATCGAAACCAAACCCTTCTCAGTTAAGTGCTGCAAATTGGATGGCTCCTACCTAACGTGGGTGGTAGTGTAAAGTCTGTGGTGTGGGAAGCTATTCCTGTGAAGCTGTGTGAATGAAGGGGTTTCTGTAAAGAGGGAGGGAGGGCGGAGAGGATCCGGAGTTGGTTTTTGCTATGTCAAATGCCATGCATTGGCGGCGTCTTAGGTCTAAAAGACCCACGTTTAGATCAAAACTGGCTGTTTTCTTCTAAAGGGGAAGGGAGAGGGTTGATTGGAGGTCCAAATCACTAGTCGTGTAATCAGCGCCGTAGTGGTTGGTTGATGCAGAGGGAAGAGAAGAAAGGACAGGGTGGAGGGAAAGGACGGCTGCGATGATGGCATATCTTAGGACACCTTAAGTATCTATTACTGACAAGTATGGGGTGCTCCCTTCCAGGTGATCTGTGAAAATGGTCCGCTACTCTCTTGACCCGGAAAACCCCACAAAATGTAAGTGAATAGGACATAGATCTATAATTTCTACTTGGGGGTGAGCATAAAAGTATAGCCAGAAATTAACCAAATTTTTTTTTTAATATTCTAGCATGCAAATCAAGAGGCTCAAATCTTCGTGTTCACTTTAAGGTATGAGACTCCTAATGCAATCTAAGTTTTCCACATGTTCTAGTGTTGCTCATCTTTAAAGGAAGCTGCAGTGATGCCTTTCTTAGGACACCTTTGGATTTACCATGAAAACTAATACATTCTGAGCAGCTACCCTTTACTTGTATATTGATTATCATTGTATAATGAGCAATTTGATTCAGGATTTCTGAAATTGAATAAAAGTACCAGAGAATCCTTGAGAAAGTAGTTGGATGTTGGAATTTAAAGATTTTACAGTGGATAAATTGAGGATTAGGATTAATTTTCCCTAGTTCCAAAGTTTCCCAGGCTCTTAGTCACAATTATCATGTATGACAATTTTGAAATTCTATACTTAAATGTTTGCTTTAAAGATTACGCTAACCAAAACTTCATTACTCGTATTTAGAACACCCGTGAAACTGCGCAAGCCATCAAGGGTATGCATATCCGAAAAGCCACCAAGTACCTGAAAGATGTCACATTAAAGAAGCAATGCGTGCCATTCCGGCGTTACAATGGTGGAGTTGGGAGGTGTGCCCAGGTGAGAATTCTTAGTGGCTATTTGAAAATATAAATTGTAAGGAAAGGTGATTGGCTGGGATAATTGTGGCTAGAATCTGCCTTTGACAAGCTTTCTTGGTTGCTGTGATGACTATCTTAGGACACCTTTGGATTAACCATGAAATAAACCATGTGCTGAGCAACCTTGATATTAGATAAAATAGATTCATCATGGTTCCAATGTTCATTTAAACCGTGGAAAGTTACTAATCACATTCCTTCATTTTCTCAGGCCAAACAGTGGGGCTGGACACAGGGCCGGTGGCCCAAAAAGAGTGCTGAATTTTTGCTGCACATGCTTAAAAATGCAGAGAGTAATGCTGAACTTAAGGTACCCAAACCGTAAGCCTCCTTATGTGTATATGCAAATTAAGTGTTGTGCCAGATTTGTATCATTGCTTTGCTCTGATTAAATCTCTCATTTAAATATTCTAAAGACTTCTCTGTCTCCAGCAGTCCAAAATTTTGTCTAAAGATTTTCATAAAAATCTACCAACAGCTGTAACTTTTCTTGTGCCATGAACCTTTTGGTAGTATGATTAATTATCAAAATGATTGCCTTATTAGTGGTTATATCAGGGTGTAGAAACTGGCTGTACATTGTTCTCTTCCTCTAAGCTACATCCTTCAGCTGCCACCACCATCCCCAACCTTTTTGACTGTCCAAGTTGTTATAGACTGGCCTTGAACTTGAGAAGCTCCTGCCTCAGCCTTCTCATAACTTGGGATTATAGGCATAGGGTGGTCACAAACATGATAGTAAACTGGGGATACAACTCAGTGGTAGAGCACTTACTCTAGCACAGTAAGAACATCATTATGGTGATAACTCAGAAAGCAGAGAGTGTCTTGAAAAAATATACCATTGAAGATCTTAAAGGATTGTCTTTCAAAAATGATTTTATTCAGACATGGATGGGGTATTGGTTGGGAATTAGTATTTCCCAATAATGTAGTTAGTAGCTTTAAGACCGTGAAAGATGTTACCTTATTTTGTTCTCCCTCTCTTGCCAGGGTTTAGATGTAGATTCTCTGGTCATTGAACATATCCAGGTCAACAAAGCACCCAAGATGCGTCGTCGTACTTACAGAGCTCATGGTCGGATTAACCCATACATGAGTTCCCCTTGCCACATTGAGATGATCCTCACTGAAAAGGAACAAATTGTTCCTAAACCAGAAGAGGAGGTTGCACAGAAGAAAAAGGTAATTATTTAATAGCTTGATTTTGTTCATGTACTTTAGAAAGATCTATGGTTGCTGTGATGACCATCTTAGGACACCTTTGGAATAACCATGAAAGGAAAGTATTCTGAGCAACCTTTTAACACTTTATTTTGGCTTTCATGACCCTAATTTGTTTCTTGCCTAAACAATAAATAATAATTTTGTAGTCAGTATATCAAATGCATATAATTATCTGTGGTCCCACTTAGGTTTCCCTAGCCACTTTAAATACATGTCCCTGAAATCTCAAAATTTTTTTTCTTTTTCCTTTCCCAGATATCCCAGAAGAAGCTAAAGAAACAAAAACTTATGGCACGGGAATAAATTCAACAAAAAATAAATGCAAATAAAAGGATGTTGGTTGTCTTTTATTATGTTTGTGTGGTGGTGTTGGGGATTGAACCCAGGGCCTAGCAAGTATTTTGGGTATTCTCAGAAGTCATAAACTAAAATTAGAACAGGCTTTTGTTTCTGTTTTGGGTCTTTGGCCTTGAACCCCTAGGATCAAAGTCATCCTCCAGCTTCTGAAGTAGCTAGGATAGTCCAAAATATGCTATTTTAATTCTCTTGAGATCCTGTGTATAAAATATAATATGGGGAAATTTCTGAAACTTTGTATTTTTTAAACAGCCTTGAGATTTAGCATGCCATATAGTCCACCCATTTATAAAGGGTATTGTTCAGTGAGGTACTCCATCACTACAATCAATTTTAGAATTTGTTCCTTGTCCCATAAAGGAATTTATGTGTGTGTGCTGGGGACTTAACCCTGGCTGTGTCCCAGCCTTTTTTATTTTGAGTTGCTGAGGCTGGTGTTGAATTTGGAATCATCCTGCCTCATGCTTACCAGTTGCTGAGATTATGGGCATGCATCATCACACCTGACCCATCAAAGAGTCTTAACAGTAGTTAACTCATTCTCCATTTCCCCTATTGATCCCTAAGTAACTACTAATCTATTTTCTGTATAGATCTGCCTCTTAACATTTCATGAAAATTGAGTTAGTGTCTGATTTGGATTTCACGGCATGTTTTGGGGGTTTGTGTGTATTATGGCATGTATTCCATATAATCAATTCCTGAACAGTAGCTGTTCAAATAGTGTTGCAAAGCCTTGTGTGCACGTTTTTTGTGTAGGCATTTTTGCATTTCTGTTTTGATCATAAGATGATCCCAGTAACATGGTGAGGAACTGTCAAAAGACATTCCCACCAGCAGTGGTTCCAAATTCTTACCAGTACAAAATTTCAGGTAACAATCCTAAAGGTGATGAAGTGGTACAACCGTTTTTTGTTTTTTTTTTTCCTGAGTCCGCTACAGCTTTAATGAGAAATAGGACTAGTTGTCAGGTACAAGAAAAACCTGAGCATTTTAGTAAAACTTTCATGTTAACCATCTAATAAGCATTATTATAATCCACAAGGTAAAGTACTAAAATCAAGTTACAATAAATCCATGAGTAATAGTAGTTGTTCACATAAAAATTTTCATAATACTAAGTCCATTTTTAAACAATTTACAGAACATTTTATACTTTCAAAGGGCAACATAGGCATCAACATTTTGCTTTTCATAAAGTAACAATAACATAGGACACTTAGAACTAATGCAGTTGAATGCACTTTGAAACTATTAGACATTCAAGTGACCATTTAAAATACTTAAAATTTAAAGTTGTAATAAATACACCAGAAAATGGAGAATGCCATTTTTACACCAGTTTACACAAGCCTGTGGAGTGCAATAAAATAATCAACTTGACCTTCACAAATCTTTATAAAATCTCAAACTCTGAAAGGTAAAAAAAATCATTATATATATATATCTGTTCATTTCAAAATTCTTCACAGTATTCTACCCTTCATTTCATAATTAAATCTTACAATCTATATCTGTGTCATCTAATTAGAGGTGCCTTCAGATTTTCAATATAAATTAAAAGACATTTCAAAATAAAATTTATTCCACTAAAATGTCCATGTGTAGTGGTTTAAAGATTGAATACTGAGAATGCTACATCATTATCTGGAAATTTACTTAACTGTTGAGTCCTTATCAAAGTAGTTAGCATAAGAGCAACTGAGGTCCGCCACAGAGAACCCATAAGCAGGTCACCTTAGAGTGCATTGAAAATAGAAAATGAAGACACCCACCTTCTGGAATCTTGAAACCCACACTCCAATCACAAGGAGATGTAGAGCTTTCCAAGGAGGCAGAAACTTTGTCTAAAATTTCAAGATAATCCACCTGACTGTCAGAAATGTATATGCTAGGCAGCACATGATAGAAAATTAGGCTACACTCATTATTTATAAAGAAGTCAAAGCAATGCCCAGAAGGGCAACAGATAACATTCCATTTGCCTCAGAAACCTGCCACTATCTCTTACAAAATTCTGTGAGATGGTTAAAACCAGAAGTATGTGTTTATAACCATACATAATTCAAATTAGGGGACATGATAAAAAGTATTTTATTCCCCACAAAAGACACTATTAATAAAGATTTTCTCTCCTCACAGATGGCCCATAGCACAGGTAGCCAACCTCTATATTTATCTCTCACAGACCCCAAAATGTACTCTGCCAAAGAAAAGACTTCAGAAATCAGAGAGCTAATTTTAACTTAAGATCTTCCTAGGACTTTTTGTAAATAATGAGTTCCTACCCACATCTGAAGGCAACCCGACAGGTAAAAAGACAACAATGTACTAAGACATTAAGGAAACATAATCTTCTACATAAAAGTCCAGACAAAAAGTTATATAAGAAACCAGTATACTTCTCTGTAACAAATTCCAGCTTCAAAGAATACGTGTTAGGTTAACTAAAGAACTGTTATCAAAATCCATACTAATAGTCAAATCCTGTTACAACTTAAATGGGACTTTCCAAAGTCTTTAGTGGGGGTGGAATTTTGTACTGAGCATCATTGAAGTAAATGGTCCACTGGTCTGGGCCTTTGGACCTTTTGGTTATATGGCCTCTGCTGTAAAGGTGTTTTGCTATAACTGGATTTGACCTCTTCCATGTAAGAAGATCTAAATTTTAAATGCAAAGTATTCTAACAAAGCTGTTGTGAGAATGACTGAGGTAGTTTGAGCTTTTTTGCTACGTTCTTCATGACCGTTAGCACTGCTCAACTTGTTCTCATCCTTATGATTGACAGTTCACATTGGAATCAAAGGTGAATTCATGGGAGTAGAGGTGAGATATCGTTAGGCAAGTCTTCTTGTAAGGAGCCTCAAGCATTGCTTCAATATCAATATCGTCTGTCATTTTCTCTAAACGCCTGTGCGGCCTTTTGGGTGTCTGTAGTACTTGTGCGGAGTCAGTTGGCTGCTCCTGCCGCTAGTGCTCCTGCCGCTAGTCCTGAGGCCGATAGTCCTGCTGCTGAAAGTCCTGCTGGCGGCCGCTAGTGCTGCTGCTGGCGATAGTGCTCCAGCCGCTAGTGATGCTCCTGCTGCTAGTGCTACTCCTGCTGGCCGCTAGTGCTGCTGCTGATAGTGCTCCTGCTGCTAGTGCTGCCGCCGCTGCTGCTGCTACCGTTAAGCCCCTAGGCCCAGGCCGCGGTACCCCCCAGCCCGTATATCGGGCTCCGAGGGCGACTAGGCCCTAGCGAATCTAAAAGAAACAATGGGATTAGAAGAACCCGCACGTAGGAGCAGGACGGCGGCTTCGGCAGCACAGGATCCACCCCTGCGACAGCGTCGGCAAGCTCCCTGAAAATCAACTGTTTCTATTAACCCATTTGATACTGGGTATTGAGCCGTCTGGCAAGGACTTGCTCTACCACTCAGCTACACCCCTATCCCCTTAAGTTTAACGTTTACTCCCAAATCTCCTGCCCTTCCATTTAAGATGCTTAAATTTGCTGAGCAAATAGCCTAAGCCAGGTGGGCCTGCAAACAGCCTATTACGTGCGAGTGGTGTAACATTTCCTGTGTGTGGCGGCCACTGACAGGCGATATTTCCAGAATCCGTATTTTGAATTCTGCATTCTGAAACAGGCCCTAGCTCAAATATTCTTCCGAAAGGAGCTGCATCTACCGGCCGCCTACAGAGCTTGGTTGTACTTCCGGGCCTGAAGGCTCAGGTCCTGGACGGTAGCGCCGGTAGTCCGGGCGAGTCCCGCTCCGCGTCTCCACTACGTCCCGTGCGTCTTCAAGCTGACGCAGCACCCTTTGTCAGCCCCTTTAGAGGTGCCCATTGGCTAGGCGGCAGCTTGTCCCTCCCCCCGGAAGTGCGGGCTTTGCCTTGGTGACTTCGTCGTCGCCGGTGAACCAGGCTTGGATGCGCCGGGCAGGCTGCGCTCTGTCCTCTGCGCTCCCGCGGCGGTTTCGAGTAGCTCCACAGGCTCTTCCCGGTGGCGCTCAGGAGCCTTCGGCCAGTGCGCGACTCGCCGGCTCGCCTGACCGCCCTGCCCGGAGCCTTGCGGCGGCCTGAGCTCTCGCTACATTCCGCCTGGCCCCACGGTACTCTCGCTCCCCACGCGCGCCCTTTCCACCCGCCCGCTCCGGGCCTTGGTCCTGCAGCTCCTTTTCTCCTTGCCGGTTCGTTCTCTGCCTTGGCCTGGTGATGTCCGTGTCGCTTCCCTTCTGTAATCCTCGCCACTGACCCTGCTTTTCCCTTCGGTCTTTTCAGTTGTCTTTGACTCAGTCTCAGGGTTTCTTCGAACGAGGTGGCTTTCTGGCCCGCCCTACCTGACCTATTTCTGATGGAGCCTTGGCCTTTTCCTCTCTGTTCCATTGTCATCTTGGGCCGAGTCGAATGAAAGGTGATTCCTCTGCAGCAGTTCTAATTCAATTTGCTCGCTTTGCTGTTTTGAAGAATAGTTCAAATGAGTCTCTCCTTGCCACCTTCTAGACTTTTCTAAAACCACATTCTCCTGTAGCGAATCATTATGAAGATTAAAAGATAAAATACAAGTAGTTTCTTTATAAAAAGAGCTAAAATTCATCAAAGCTGTAATTGTAACGTAAGTGGTTAGTAGCATTTGTTTTCGAGAGAGTTGATTTACAACATAATGTGTACTATCTTACTTAAGACAACCTCAAAGGTAAAAATGAATCTTCATAAAGGATTGCCAGTCTCCAGTGTAACCTAGTATTGGGAGTATTACCCATTGTTTTGAAAGGGGTCGCTTGGTTTTGAAGGTTTGGTAGAAGGTGGAGAACATGATCATTGTGTTTTTTCAAAGGGGAAAAGGCAGTAGTCTTGAGCTGGGAAACTGGAACTGGAAATTCTGGTCTTAACTCTGTTTACAATGAACTTTGGACAGGTCACAACTTTTGAGCTTTTTGTTTTTCTGGTCTTTTAAAAATAATACGTAAGTTACAATATGTGCAGACAATCTGGCCTACATTGCATTCC